CAGGTTGAGAATCACTGCTCTAAGGCATTTCCCAGAGGGCAGGCACAGGGGGCCCATTCCAGAAATACTTAGGGCTCAACTAGAGACGGCAAGAGTAGTAGGGGAAACTGGGAGTAAGTAAATAAGGTGTCTAAGAAGCCAAGAAATGGGGTTCCAGTCTTCGCAGACTCAAAAGTTAATTCAAATCAATTCAAAGATTCTGAGGACTGTGTCTGTGTGTTTTGTGAACAGGAGGCAGACTGTTCATGAGTTACAGTGGCCATCGGGCAGTGCCAGAGACGGTCATCCTCAAAGGTGCGGGCTCTATGTCTCAAGAACCAGCAGGGAAGAACAAAGATAAGACCAACAAATGCAAAGCGGAACTATAAAGGAGGTGTCTGAGTCTGCTCTCCGTTGCTCTAACCAAATACCCTGGGAGGTCGGTAAGTCCAAGCGCAGGGCATTGGCGTTTGCCTGGTGCAATTAAGGGCTGCTTTGTTGTTCCATACCATGGTGGAGGATATCAAAACAGGTTTCTTACTGTTCCTATAAAGCCACTAATTCTATCATGGAGGCTCACTCTCATTACCTCATCCAACGCTACTTGCCTCCCAAAAGCTTCAACTCCAAATATCATTAATATTAATTGGGGGATTAAGTTTTCAATGCGCAAATATAGGGGGACATATGGTTTTTAAAACTCTAAATTTTAAAAACGAAGATAGAACTTTCAAGGAGGAAGAAAGGGATTAGTTATGAATGCCCAATGAATGATCCAGGAGAAACAAGGAAAAGGTGTACTTAATACAAGTATGGGAGGAAGAATATTGCTGTTTCTCAGAAGCCCAGATGTGCACAGCCTAATGCCCAGAACCATCTTGTTAGGAACAGGGTACCTCAAGCACTCCAACGAGCCAGGAGCATCACTGAAAAGGCAAGAAGCTTGTGTACTTGACCATGCATCAGAACCACATGGTTCAGCAGGTAAAGGAACTTGCTGAAAACTACAACCACCTGAACTCCATCCTTGGTACCCACAAGATGGAATGAGAGAACCGGTTCCCACGAGCTGTCCTCTAACCACCATGAGCACATCACCATGGCACATGTGCCTGTGTGCTTGAAAAGTTAAAAATTAAAAAAGAACCTCCTAGAGGACTTATTCAAGTGCTGATTGCTGAACCCCACTGTCCAAGGTTCCTGATTTTGTAGGTCTGTTGAGATACGACTGAAGAATTTGTCTCTCAAGTGACCCCAAGGTACGGCCCTCTGCAAACCACTGTCAGTAGCTCTCCTCTACAGAAAGGGTTCTGGCATTCGCCGGGGCTCTTTCTTTCTCACACAGCACCTGATCTCTTTGTTCTCAGCAGCCTGCACTGGATTACTCCATGTATTTCCCTGGTATAGCTTTCCAGTTGCTCATTTCTCTCAATATTGAACAAAAGCCCAAGACTAAAGCTAGCTGATATTAAAGTAGTAGTCGTGGAACATGTCCTTAAAATAAAAAATAAAATAAAAAACAGAAGCCTTGCTCCCCACCCACCACCTCCAGTCAACTTTGAGGAGCTGAAAAGGGGATCCTACTGCTGGGAATCTGGCTGGGCGCGACATCCCTCAGAGCAGCAGCATCAGGCACGGCCAGTCTATGATCAGAACAGGACAAGACACAAACAAAGCCACCCCGTAATCATGTGTGAACACAGACAAAACATGAACTTTGTCCAAACCATAAATGCGAGCAGCCATCCCCTAGTCTTGCTAATGTGAGTATCTGCTGCTTTTATACCAACCCCAGATTTTGCCTGGCTCCAATTTTTCCCTCTTCTAGAGAACATTTGTTAAAATAGTCAATCCCAGAAGTAGCTCTGGCAGCCTCCAAGCCAGAACAATGTCTGGCTCCTTCAAATGCTCCCCGAACCACCTGACACAGACACAAAGCCCCTAAGTCCGCCTCTCTTACACCCCGCTGCTCAGAGGCCCCATGGTCCTCAAGGTGTGCAAGAAGAAAACTCAGCTTGTTAAATCCCGGGTGTGTTCCCAGGGAGGGTGGGTGACTCACACTCTCCTCAAAGACATCATCCTCACCTGCTCTCCAACCTACACAAGATTCCTCTTCTCATCTTTCAGGATGCTCACTATAGCTTTTATTTACACACTGCCACATTCCTTGCACACACATCCTCCACTAAATTGAGAAGTTTAAGTGGGTCAGTCTAAATGTACCGCACACCTGTTTCCTGGCACAAAGCAGGGGATAGATACATAATGAGATGGACACAAGGAGGACAAATACTTATCACTGCGGGTAGCATACTTTAAGAAATTACAAGCATGAGCATTTTCAATAGATATGAGTAATGCAAAGGTAACTGGAGGCATAGAACAGGAAACAACCAGGTCTCTGCAACAGCAATGGACTCTGCAAAACAAAGGGGAGAGCCCTTCCTTCCATATTTAACTCAAGACGTGTTTGTAGAAGGCATTGCGTTGTGTTGATTTTAGCTTTCATTCAGCATGGTCAACCACTGACACAGCATTGCCCCAAGCTGCCCAAACTTTGTTGTTACTCTGGAAATCCTTCAACATAAGTCACTTGCTTGGCTTGCAAACCCTTCACTACTCCCAGATTTGGGTCACAGTACTTGCACTGCTCTAATTAGAAGAGGCTTTCCCTGTGTCTGGCACCATAGGCCCCTCCCAGGAAGTTCATAGTGTTTTGTAAGAGACCACTGCATAACTAGCCAACTTCATTTCAGGGTTCGGGATTTCGTGACTTTCAGTTAGTGTTCAGATCATGGACTACATGATATGATTTAATTATGTTACTCATCAACAGAAAAATCATCAGGCCAAGCAAGATTATCAAAGTGGTAAATAAGCTAAATCTTCTGAAAACCAGAGAGATTTGGAGAAAGGGAGTGTGTGAGTGTGTGTGTGTGTTTTCTTGTGCCACCTTGCACAGAATCCTAGCACCACTAGGTCTTTCTATTAGAAAACAAATAGAATCAACTATTAAATATCTGTACTTCATTGCAAATATACCACTAAGGACTCTTTAGAAAACAGCAGGTGATTTTTCCTCACAAATGACTACAAATACCTTAAATTCCACTTAGGCACATTGTAATGAATTAAATGGCATTCATTTTGCTCTGTGTATGAACTCCTGAAATAAATAATAATTGATTGCTGCATAATGGCTACAATTTTAAAATGATACTGGAAAGGGCTATAAATTGCAGAAGCACTCTCTCATTTTCTTAAGAGAGTCTAAAGAATGCAAACAGTTTAGATCTCAGTGATAAACAGGTCTGCTGCTTCTTAAAGGAGACGCCATCCTCTTTCCATTGAGACCTACACAGCAAAGCCTGCCCAGGCAAACTGACAACTTCCTTTTGTATAGAACTCTTTCAGTAACCCAGCCCAAATGAAAGGTCATCCCAACAACATTTCTTATCGTGTTGGGAGAAAACAGGGCATTCCAAAGTGACCTATAAGGGTTTAAAGGCATTTACTTTGGCCATTGGACTCAAGCATCTTAAGGCAAAGCAAAACAAGAGTATGAATTAAATGTCGTATCTTCCATGGAGGAGGAGGGTTGGGTCCATCCACTCAATGTTGATTTAGAGCCTAATCTGCACCAAACATCAAAGAAACCCATTGTGAGCAGCACCACACAACACAATGCCGTCCCAATGGTGTCTGAGCCCAGGTAGAGGAGATAAACAGGTAATACTGCGGTGGGAAAAAGTGTCGTAGGAGAAAGGAATTCATTTAGACCTGGAGTGGTATGACATCACATCAGAAAAGGGCTCTGGGAAAAAAGTGACACGTAAGTTGAGAGGCCACCAGATCACTACCACTTTGGAAAAGGGAAAAGCATTTTAGAAAACAATCACAAATGGGATTTGAACTTCACTGACCAACAACTTACTGGGTTGGACGTCTCCTTCAGTGCTTGTGTATGTATGAGCATCCTGCGACTCCTGCCTACCCTATCTGGCTGGTGTACCAATATCCTATTACCTGAATACAGAAAAGTCTCACTTTATGACGATTTATTATAATGTGCAGCCTGCTATGCTTGGCCTAGAAACACCCAAAAATAAGCTGCCAGAGGCACAAAAAGCTGGCTGGCTATCAGCAGGACTTAGGTAAACCAAACGTTTAATAGAGACCAGACAATCACAAGTCCTTTGCTCAATAAAGTGTTGGTTCCTCTGGGCAGTAAGGTGGGTCCCACACCGTCAGGTCTATATTAAATGGGACCCAGAAGACCTAATGCTAGCTGCCTACATGGAAATTATGTTTTCTAGGTAAATCAAAAACTGGATCACCATTTCCAGTTCCCGGCCCTGCAGACTTAGAGGAGGACATGGGAAGTAGCCTTTGAGGACCTCAGAGTGGAGAGAGGGCCAGACTGGGAGAAGACAGAGAGAGTGAGAGCTGGAAGCACAAGCGGGGGTTGCAGGAAGAGCTCAGGACCCTGGGACAGCCAGCCCACCAGGCCCGGTACTGGGGCGTTTCCTAACCTCCCATCACCCCATCAGCCGGCAATAAGGGCAATCTAACCCTCCCCCAAAGACCCCGAGATTCTAGGTTCTTCTCAGCCCGGGCCAGACAGGCACCAAGAACCCCAAGAACCCTGCACTAAATCCAGGTACCCGCGTCCGCAGCGCAAGGGAGGGTGCGCTTGGGTAAGAAAAATGGCAAAGACAAAACTCTCCCCGCCCACCCGAAAAAGCCAACCACACCCCCTGCATCCCTCAACCCAAGCCGCCCCGGAGCCAGCCCCCGCGAATTCTCTGCCCAGGCCCCCTCGGGTTCCTGTCCCTGCCGCGCGCGCGGGCTCCGCAGGGACACTAAAGCAAGTGAGAGTGAATCGGGGTGCGCAAGGCGAGGGAGGGCGCCCAGCACGGTGTCACTCTCCGGACCCGGCTCCGGGGCGCCCTCCCCGGGTCCGCGGTCCTGGGATGGGCGCGCCGACCCTACACACAGGGTTGAGCAGCCCCGGCACTCACCCATTGGCGCCAAGCCCGGCCGAGCCGCCGAAGCAGCGTTAAAGTTGGCGGAACCGGGCGTGGGGTTCGGAGCGCCGAGGTCGCGGCGCGGGGATCGGGGACACGGGCGTTGGGACGCGGCTGCAGCTGGGGGTCGGCTTCTTCCTCAGTAACGGTGGTAGAGGCTCAGCGCCGCCCGCTGCTGCCTCTGCTGCCGCTGCCGCTGCTGCCCTGGGGCGACTCCTGCTGCTGCTGCTGCATCGCGGCCCCGCTGCGCCCGGCTGCCTCCGGGTTTCCTGCTCTCCGAGAGTGGAAATTGCGAAAAAGAAAAAAAAAAAAAATCACCGCCCTGCCCTGTGCAAGGCGGCCGGCTCAGAGCCTGCTCTCCCCTCCTCCTCGGGGCTGCGAGGCTCCGCAGCTCCGCCCGTTGGAGAGGCGCGGCCGCCAGGCGGGGGCGGGGCCGAGGGGCGGGGCCCAGGCAGCGTCTGGCCTGACTCCGGGGCGCGTCCGCTGGCGGCGGGGCTCTGTGGCCCCCCCTCCCTGTCCGCTCTGCCCCGTCCGAGTTCCGCCGCGGTCGCCCCCTATCCACCGACACTCTGCTCACTCCCGGGGAAATGCCGCGAGACTCCTCGAGACCGGAGGAGATTTAGGGGGTCTTTGGGGGTGGGGGTCTCGGAGTTGAGGGGCACGTGAAAAAGGTGGGTCGGAAGGCGGAACCCCGGCGAAGGAGGGCTGGGGGAGGGGTAGCCGTCGGCAGGTGAAGAGCCAGACACTTGCTGGGTTATTAACAGGTGACAGCATTGGGAACAAGGCGGGTAGCAGGGGGCTCTTGGAGAAAGGGGTCTTTAGCTGCAGCTTGGGAACGCGAGCAGCCCAGGTGCGAGTTTGGAGCGTGGGAGGTGGTGGGCTTGATGAAGAGCCCAAAGCGAGGCTGCTGGGCAGGTGCGCCACTGGGCACCGCCTCTCACAGGTGTAAGGTCCCCTCCTTACACCTGACCCAGTGTTGCCTGGACCAGGTGTGGGCTTCTACTCCTTGGGAATTTTTCTAGGTCCGGAGACAAAGCTTGGCTCCTTTTCCATAAGGCATGTTGTGTCCTATTGACCTCAAACCTGGATGGCCAACAATTTAGTGGACTCTAAAATGGAAATAGACATTCACCGGAATTCCTGGACAATCACAAGCTCCCTTTTCAGGGTTCCTTCCCCACCACACCTTTCAGTCATAAAGACTTGTCTGCAACCACATTAATTTAGCAGCCTGTTCTTTCCTTTCCACTTTCCACCATCTGGTGGTAGGAAGAGATGGCGAACTAAAGACAAAATAGATGACAGAGAAAGTGAAGAAAAATTAGACTGGCCCCTGCAGACGGAGGCTGGGGACTAGTAAACCCAAAAGTTAGAAATAAAGGCTGACCCTGTGCCCAAAGGAGAGCTGTCTTGCATACGCAATGAATGTGGCATCATATGTCCATAGTTGTAGCCTAAGATTTCTATAGACATGTGTTCTGAAAGGAAAAAAAAAAACCCATCCACAAGGCTGAGGCTAAGAAGATCATGAGTTTGATGAATGACTTAAGGGCTAGCCTGGGACACATAAACATGACCCTGGAGATGAGGAAGAGGAAGGGAAGAGTAGCAGCAGCATCCTTCTCTAGATACTGTCCATGTGTGTCACAGCAACCTAGACTAATCAAAACACAGAAGACGCATCCACATAGCTGTCCTGTTCATACATGCCTAGACAAATCCATGATCCAATCAAGGCAATGAAACCTTATGATCTTATAGTTGACAGAGTGAGACTTAGAGCCTGATTTACCTCACTATTTCTAAAACACTCTCCCTAAACATAACAGGAACTTCTCTGAGATCTGTCCCAATTCCAAAAGTGGCTCTCTTGGCCAAGACCCAGATCATTAGACCATCCTAATTCTCTCTCAAAGACATTCAGACCCTGGAAAATGACTGGGCATGTGTTCAATATGGAAATAGCTGAGCTAGACTTGTGGTGGCTTGGCACCTGGGGTGCCAAAGATTTGTGGTTGCTGACCCGTGCATTCTCAGAATGATGTTCCAAAAATCAGTAAGAGCTCTGCTTACTCTTCCAGAGAACCAGGGTTCAATTCCCATTATGCCCACGGTGGCTCACAACCATTTGTCACTCCAGTTCCAGGTAATGTGATATCTGTCCTCTTTTGGCCTCCGTGGGCACTGCACACATGTGGGCATTTGCACCCATACAAATAAAATTTTTAAAACAAAGTTGTTACTGGAGAGATAGCTCAGCAGTTAAGAGCACTGGCTACTATTCCAGAGGTCCTGAGTTCAATTCCCAGTAACCACATGGTGTAAGTCTCACCATCTAGAATAAGATCTGGTGCCCTCTTCTGGCCTGTGGGCATACATGCCAGCAGAACACTACATAATCAATAAATGAATCTTTTAAAAAAAACCATCATTGAACACTGTTGAAGCCTACCAGACTTACCTGGACATCGCAGCATCCAGTGCAACTAAAGCAACAACCAGCACAAGACTCTTCGGGGAGAAAGGGCTTCTTTTATCTACTGCTTAATCTTAGTCTTAATCCTAGCCTTCTAATTGAATTGCTTTGCCAATCTCACACAAGGGGAGAGTCTTGGTCTGTGTTTTGTATAGCCCAGAGAATAATCTGGGATAGCCATACCTTCAGTTTATTAGGTGAGTTTATTAAGTATATAGCAAGGCAAAGTAAAAAAATTAATAGCAAGAGATGGATAGCAAAATATCAAATCAGGTGCACACAGCATCTAGCAGAAACTGACTGGGGAAGTGAAGGAGTGGGCTGGAGTTTCTGACTTCTCTGGCCTGTAGGGGGCACTTTTATATCATGGATAAACAATAGTGACATCTGTTGGAAACGGTTAACTTTCTAGGTCTTCTCAAGGACACAATGGTTTTACTCTTGGGTTGTTCTATAGTCTACTTCCTGATAAAGAGGAGAGCAAGCCCATCCCCAGAAAGGAGGCTTTGGAGGACACTTTGAGACAAACATGCTTGGGTCTGAAATGGGGGTGGGGGCAACCCCAATTTCAGAGCTAGCTTCTCAGTGAGCTCAAATAGCAAATAGCACAGGCCCATTTTGCCGATAGAATGTCCACTGCAGTCTGTCTCAAAACGCTTTCTAATTGTGGTGCTGGGACTTGAACTTAGCAAGTAGGCACATGCTGAACAACTGAACTGTGGGCCAGCCTAACTTTTCTCTCTTGATCTGAAGACCTGCATCCTTAGTCCCCAGTCTGAGTGTACTTCCTGCAATGACAGACTTGGCATTTTATCACAAAAGAAAGACTGGTAGCAAGACTTAATTTTTTTAAAAAAAGTTCTTGAGGAGTGCCCTGGCTTTACTGCCTTAACTAAACCAACTGTCACTTCTATTCAAAACTTGAGAATTTTTCATCTTGAGTTTCCTCTAAATTACAAGTGAACATTCCTTTTTCCCAGTTATTGTTCCGTTCCTCTGAATCATTCCTATTGTCCTTTCATTTTCCCCTGAGAAGCTTTTGCTGACCAGCACAAAAGAAGCAAACGTCAAGACTCCAGTCCAGCTGCTGCCATGAATACTAGTGTAATTCCGCATCCTGCCTCCTTCCTACAAGTGGTTCCTTTAAACAGAATAGCTAATAATGCAGGATTGCAAACATACTCCAAATTATGTTAATTCATTTCATGAATATTTCTAGAGAAAGGCAATTGTATTTCATGCCACATCTTTGTCCCACTGAACTCCCATTTCTGCCAGAATACATAATGGGTTTGGAAAACGCCAAGTATCTGACTTGTCACATTAAAATGGCATCATATGATTAAAAAGGCACCACTGTGTGGCTCAGTGGTAGCAATGTTTGGGATAAAAATTGAAGGTACTTGAGCCTTTGCTTCTCCAGCACTTACAACCTGTCATACTGGTTCTTTCCCTGTACTCGGGCTTGACATCTGTAATTTACACGTAATGAATGATACTTTGCTTTGATAACCTTTAATATCATCTTTACATTATTATAAATTGCATGCTGAGTGCGTTACAAAAGACGGTCATTATATAGTACTTTTGCTAAGCTTTATGGAGAGCAAATCTCAGTGCTAGAAAGTAAAGACATGCTTAAGGAAAAAAAAAAAGTGTCCTAAAGGCCAAAGCTGGAACAGCTCAAACTACACAAAAAAATATATTGAGGCTCTGGAGAGACAGCTGCAGTTAAGAGTGCCGGCCACTTTTCCAGAGGACCTGAGTTCAGCTCCTAGCACCCAGGCTATGTGACTCACAATCACCTGTAACTCCCAGTTCCAGGGAATCTGATGCCCACTGGCCTCCATGGGCACCCGCATGTACATGGCACACACACACACACACACACACTCGGGGTCCCAGGACATGTGACTCACGATCACCTGTAACTCCAGTTCCAGGGAATCTGATGCCCACTGGCCTCCCGCATGCACCCGCATGCACGTGGCACACACATACACTTGGGTACACACAGATATAGATAATAAAAAGAATAAAATCCTTTAAAATCAACAAGAGGAGAATAAGTCGTCCTTAACAGAGAGATTCCAATTAGTAAATGAAAAAGAACTGATGAGGGGCATTACAGTACCAGGATAGGCTGGTCATGACCGTTCAGAGCTGCAATCCCAGCACTCTAGAGAGACTTAGGCAGAAGCCTTGCCAGCCTCAGCTATCAAGTGAGATCCTGTTTCCAAAACAAGATAGGACTGGAGAGGAGTGGTTCGACAATTAAGAGCTCTTTCTCCTCTCTCCAAGGATCCAGTTCACTTCCTAGGATCCACATAGTGAGTCCCAGTCACCTGTAACTAATTCCAGCTCCAGAGGCTCCAGTGCCATCTTCTGGCTAACTCTGGTTCCCGCATGCGAGCAGTGCCCAGGTTCACAGGCATGTACATCAATAAAAGACACAACCAAAGAAGGCTACAGTAATAGTGTAAGCACAAGCTGACTAACATCCCCCAATTACTTGGTGAAAGTTTAAGTAGAAGAAGGGCATTTGCATAGCCTCAAAGTAGTTGCCCCTTCATAAATGTCTTCATGCTCACTACATGGGAAACCAGTAACTTCAGGTGAGGAGTGCCAGAAAATAGCCCGTTAGTGAGCAAGGTCTGGTGGCCATGAATTTAAGACTGTCTTTTCCATTCTTCCTTCACGTTGTGTGCGTGCTGGGCTAAAGGTAATGCATGTCAAAGGTCAAAAGCCATAGAATGAACGAACATTTTACTGTATTGTGTTGAGCAGGCTTGAGACCAGTCTTGGAAGAAGCCACTTTTGCTTTCTCATTGACTGAATCCTTTCCAACAAATTCCAGAGAACAGGGTTTATCTGATCTGCA